GGGAACGTCCCCTGCCGGGCAGGCGCTGTGGGGCGGCGCTGCGCCGCCTCCCAGGGCCCGCTGGGCCCAAGCTCCTCCTCAACCTGCCTGAGCCGTCCTCGGCTCAAGCTCGGCGTTCGTCCGCAGCGCCATGCGGCTCTCTCCTTACGCTGTGGTAGTCTTGGGACTCGTGGGGGTTCTGCGCCATGGCGGCGCCTCAGGTGAGTACGGTCGCTGGTGTATTTATGTGGGGCACTGTGGGGTCGTGGTCGCCATTAGGTGGAGCGTCGATATCTAGCAGAATGGAGGGGAATGGGCTTGCAGAGGTTTTTGGGGGGTGTCCCTAAAAAGGACCTGCTGCTGTCTCGAGGAAGAATGAAAAATGAAAGCAAAGATGCAACTGTGTGTGGCGCTGGAGAATTGTGTTTCTGCCTATCTTAATCTTTGACGCGGGTAGTGAGAATCTATTTCTCACCCGTCCTTTTTATTTTTTTTTTTTTTAAATACGGCTTTATTGCTATGAACGCCATCATTTTAACTCTTAGATGCATCTACTGAACTAATTTTTACCAAGCTGTTGTAGGGATATGTTAAGAGGCTCATGAGTCTGGTGTAGGGCTGTATTCCTACTGAAGAAACAAGGGGGCATTCACTGTCGATGGCTTTATATGAGAAAGGGAACAAGGTTAATAGCAGGTTTGTTTTAGTTGTGGTTTGTGTTTGGTTTTTTTTGTCACATGCAGGTGGTCGTGGGTTCTCAGCACCCTGAAATAATGTGTTGAAAACTGCTATCCCTATAAAATTAAGGAAATAAGTGAAACCGCTTCGAATTTGGAGCTTGATTTCCCCAAAATAACTGTTGGGTATGCTGATGTAATCTGACTTTATTTGACTTGTTTGGTTGGGTTTTTTTTTGTAATTCCCTTGTGTTCCTGCATGTGACTGAAATAGGCATCCAGCAGTAAGTGTGCTATGATGAATATGGCTTGTGAAGGTTTGATGTTTACTTACTTTTTTTCTGGTTAAACTCTTATTTATGGAGGGAAAAAAAAAAAAACAACTGTTTCCTTTCAGAGGCAGGCAAGCAGTCCTGTAGTAAGCCTTCTCTTTTTAGTGTGTGTTTTGTTTTATAAATTTGCTTCTAATGAAGCTTAATTCTACAGAAGGAGAAATCTACTCTTGACATACCCTGCACGTCTGTAAGACAATGTTTGGAATCAGTTTCAAGCGTGGAAGATTTCTCCTTCCCTCCTTTCCCACTGAGTCTCATTCCCAACGTCTTAGTGGAGAGCCAAGTGTTCCCTGCTTCTTGCTTGTCCTAGAAGCTTAAGCTTGGTATCTGATGGTGGCAAGCAGGAATAAGAATGAAGGCTCAGTATTCTTAGATCTTAATGTTTAGATTAAAAGATGCTGGGCTCCTGGATTTGATTGAAAATGGGTCATGTGTGGAGTTGTTCTTTTGCAGCATGTAAAAAGGCAGAATGGCTATGGGATTAAGCTAATGGTTTTGCCTTGAAGGAACCTGTTGCAGTATTTCCTTGCAAAGCTGAGGGTGGAGGGGGAAAATATTTTCCTCATGAAAGGCTGATAAGCTATGGAATTAATGGATCAATGTCTAGCTGATCGTTAGGCCCTTTAATCAGGGACATGTGCTTAATGGTTCATTTACTTGGGATTGTCCTGTGGTTATTCAGTCTTGGCTGCTCAGGTTTGTGGAGGTGGGCTCTGCTATCTCCTAATACTTGAAGATCCTGATTAAATTTTAAAGTGGTGATAAGTAAAATCTGTGTATGGTGGCCCGTATTATCTCTCTGGGATTCTGATGGTCTGCAGGTCTTCACACTTTTTGTTTGTGTAGAAGTGTTCTTTATGTCATGTTTGTTACCTTCCAGGGAGCTCCACCTTCATGAAGCAGGAGTGCAACTGGCCTTGCTTGCTGCACCCAAACCAGGTTGTTTAGTGTTAAAAAAACTAAAGCGAATTTGTAGTGTAATCAGGGTTGAGCTGTGCACTTTTCATAAGGGAGTTTATCTGGATGAACTTAGTCTGTGCTAATTGCTTAGTCTATGCAGAGACAACCCTTCAAAATAAGAGGATCACACAAAGCTACTAAAGCTGTCTGAGTGGACAGTTGGTCACTTGCATGTTGAAGTGCTATTGCCCAGATGTGCATGTGACATCTTAATAGTACCAGCAATGTGACTCAGGCTAGGTCTTGTGTTTTCTGGCTGGTAATTAAAGTGGATTAGTAAAACTGTATGCAGGTGAGATGAGTACTTCTTCCTTCACTTTTCAGACTGTAGAAGACCTTGTGACCTCTAATTTGATGAACAGAATAGGATGGGAGTGGTACAGTTGGTGACATGCCATATTCTGTGGCACTGCCTGCTTTAAGCATCAAGCTGTGCGTTAGGCATGAGTCTCAGTACACATACAATTAAATCTTGTTGCTTATTCTGGAGGTGGTGTGGGTGATGTCTTTGAGGTTTTGCTAGTGTGGGAAGACTGAGACCTTGTAGCAGGACTCTGCTCTGCATCTGCATGGCCTTATGGGTCTGATATAATGTGGGTGCTGACTTTGTTCTCTTAAGTAACCATATACGCATGATTTCCTTGCTCAGACTGGTTTTCAGTTCGAGCTTGAATTAAATGTCTTCATGTGACTGCTTGTTAACATGCTCCCTACAAATCTTAAAGCTTATATTCTGCATATCCACTCTCAGTTGGTTGGCACAGAGTAGAAACATGTTTTCTCTGACTGTAGAGAATCTCTTTGTTTGAGGCAAGCCTAATGCTTGAGCATGGCTCTGTAGATAGACTGTTCCTGTATGTGCAGCAGTAGCATCTCCTCAGTTGTGTTTCTTAATGGAAACTGGACTTCTAGGTGTCATTAAGAACCTTGTATGGTTAACTGTTTATTCATGATGGGGAATGACACTTGACTATTGAAGCTGGAAATGTGGTTTACTTAAAGCATTGGATGCACTGAATCTGCAGAATGAATGGTGCAAGCTGGCTGTTGCTTATTGGGGAAACTGTATGTCACAGAGAAGGGATAAGAAATGCTGAGCCTCTGTAGAAGTGATTACACTGTTGCTTAAATTTAGGAATAAAGACTGCTGGTTTTAGAAGGGCTCTGAGAGGTTCAATTCCTTTGCTGGCTTTATTGGTTTTGCCCTTCATGTGGGAGAAGAGGTGCAGTGTGAAGTAACAGAGTGGACTGTTGTCCACTTCTGTTCAACAGTTCTTTTATACTGGATTATCTGTGCTGCTGTTCTCATTTTGGTACTAGTGTACTGAGTAACACATGCTCAATACTCCTTATAGCTGTTCTTGTTCGGTTCCAGCAATGCTGACTTCCTTTAAGTTTGTTTTCAGTTAATAATCTCTAATAGTGAGGGTTCCTCTCCTGTGTCTAACCCCCAAACTACTGACATGCAGTAACCTTCATACTTATCCTTATGTGGTGAGGAAGAGGGGATAGCCTGGCATCTTACAAAGTCTTTCCAGACCTTTGCTGTTCGAAGCAAGTGGAGCAATTTAAAAAAAAAAAAAAAACCAAAACTGTGATGCCTACATTTTGTTCCTGGCTGTTGCTGACTGTGAGAAATAATTTAGCACAAAACCAGATTCCAATGAACTTTATAATTTATTAAACGAACAAAAGACACTGGGTGTGCCGGGAGACTCTGTTCAACCAAGACACACACCATACAGTCCCTGTCTCCTGTTTTTATTGTCCCTGCTAATACATATCCATTAACAGGTGGGTCTATGTAAATGAATTCCAAAAACAGGTAGGTCTTCTTTGAAGCATGTTCTTTTCACCTCTTGGGGTCGCCTTCGCTCCCACCTGGTGGTCGTTGGACGCAGTCAATAATCTTCCTCGGCTCCCCATTTAACAACTTCAGGCTCCATGGATGCGCTTTACAAACTCCCCTTTGTGTAACATTAAGTGGCCGTTAACAGATTCAATGTAAGCCAGCACAACAACGCCAAGTGACAACAAACAAGAAACCAGAACTAATTACCCTGCTTTTTCTCCAGGCCCCTAGCTATACAAAAACAACAGAACCACACCTCACCATGGTGCACCAATATGATTTTATTTTGACACGAATCAAGTGAATATATTTCACACTGACTGAGTCAACTACCTCACTTCTTTGGTGGTGTTATCTTTGTTGGATGTACTGCTG